CACTTGTGGGATCTTCATTTTCTTGCAAGTTGGCAAGGTACGTCTGAAGCGTGAGTCGTTCGTAGAAAATTACGTCACGTGTTGCTACTGTTTCCTTGGAGTGGACATCGAAGATTTTCCACGCTTTGTAGTTCATTTCGATGCCGAGGTGTAGTTCCCACTGTGCGCGTTGTGAAAATCGGCCCGCTCGTGCTTCTGGGGGTCGGTACTGTACCATGCACCCGAAAACTCGTAACATTTTTGTGCTGCCCTGTTTCCCTGTCCACAGCAGATGCGGTGACGCGTTGTTCGGAGTGAAGACGACGACATCAAGTTGTGCAGCATGACAGCGTGGTCCATTGCTGCAGGCCACTGGTGGTTGGGTAGCCGCATGCCACGTAACAGTTTGTGCATGCTGTTCTACAGGGTCCTGTTCATTCTTTCTGCTTCTCCTTGCTGCTGATGGGCGTAGGGAAGGGAGATGAGCTGCTTGATTCCCCTTTACGCCAGGTACTGCTTGAATCGCTAAGAGGTGTATTCTCCTCCTCCGTCTGACTGGAAGCTTTTCAGTTGCACGCCCGATTCTCTCTCTGCTACTGGTAGCCAGGCAACGAAGGCTGCGAATGCCATGTCGCGGCTAGGTAGGTTTAGGTGCCAGACGTAACGGGTGGTGGCGTCGATGAAGGTGATCGTGTAGTTGTATGTAACTTTTCCTGGTTCCCGATTGAACAGGATATCGCTGTACACCTTCTCGAGTGGTGCGTACGCGGGTGCGCTCGGGTTGTGATGAGGAATGAACGGCTGATGTGGTAAGTCGGCTTCGGGGCAGGTAAGACAAGTTCATCGTGCTCGTTGAAGTTCTCTGCCATCGAGTAGTAGTAATGAGTCCTTGTCAAGGACTCCTGCTCTTATTGTGTTGTTAACACAGTGTTGCTTGGGTGTCCCATGCGTGCGTGCCAGATGTCTTCAGAGGCGCGGTGTCCGGGTGAACGTCGATACGCGTCGGAGTTGGAGTAGAAGCTGGCGATGAAGTTTGCGCTTCTATGGACTTCCCGTTGAGTCGGATTCAGCTGCTGTGCGGGTGTTGGTGGTGCTTCGTCAACGAGGACTGGTGTCGTTGTTTCTGCTGCTGCCGATGTTGTCTCTCTGCTGCTGCCGATGTTGTTACTGCTGCTGCCGATGTTGTCTCTGCTGCTGCCGATGTTGTCACTGCTGCTGCCGATGTTGTCACTGTGCTGCTGCTGAATGTTGTATTGTTACTAACGCACGTGTTCGTTCTGCTTCAGGAATGGTATGGGAATACCAGAAGCCTTCCGGACTGAAGTCGGGGTCGAGATCCGGCGGGTGCATCCAAGATGTGAAGGTGACGATCCCGTCACTGTCTGCGGTGCCCAGGTCTGGGACAAAATCGAGGACGAAGACATTGTTCTTCAGGATCGCTTTTCCGATGTAGAGGGCGCCCTTCCCGTGGTACAGCTTGAACTCCTGGGTGGTACTGTCGGCTTCCAGATGTATGCCTTTCGCCATCAACTGACTGACGCTCAGTAAGTTGTAGCCAAGTCCTTCTGCTATTAGGACTTTGGACATTTGTAGTACGACATTCGTCTCTCGTGACTGAAGTTGCACTACCCCTTGTCGTCGTGTGCGCAGGTTCTGATTGTTGGCGACAGTGATGACGACTTCTCGTTGAAGTTGGTGCTCGCGTTGAACGAAACGTCCTGAAGAGCACATGTGTTGTCCGCAGCAACTGTCCAGGAACCATGTATCCTTTCCGGTCGGCTCGCTTTGGGCGATGGCGGCGTACGTCGGGTTTTGTTGAAGTGACTCGCAGCGAGACGGTGTTGTCGAGTTGTTCTTCTGGTGAGTAATATGGTGGTGACTCAGTTACGCAGGAGTTACTCAGCCTTGCCATGCAGCTGACGATGTTTCTTGTTTCTTTTGCAGGTTGTCCCGTTGATGTTGTTGAGACGTGGACTGAAGTTGTCGGGTTTGCTTGCGTTGAAGCCACTTGACTGCTTGAAGGGCGAAGTTGGCGTTGTCGATTTGGGCAGTGCGTACGAGGGTGCCCTGAAGTCTTGCAGAGGTGGCAGAACGGAGGTATGAATTTCGGTCGATTGTTGTTCTTGTTGTAGCGCCGTTGAGTGTGAAACGCGAATTCGGACACTGACACCTTTCTCCTTTGTCATTCTTCTTGCAGGTCCATGTCTTGCTGTTCGGCGTGGATTTCGGCGCAAAGTGCCGCTTCAGAGATTTTCCCGTGGGCTCGTAGTATGGCGCGAGTGGAGCGCCAGTGAAGACCAAGACCGCCGATGACAACCGTGACGAAGGCGTCATCTGAAATCGATCCTCCACATCGAAGAAGCTTGTTGCGCAGCTCGCGGCAGCGACTGATATACGCCATTCCCTTCTCGCCCGGTTTCATTTCGATTGTAGTTAGCTGCGCCATTAACTGACTTTGGTTTACGCTGTCTGTTGCTTGATACAGGGTCTTCAAGTGATTGTACGCGAGCTCCGCGGAGTTGCCGTAGCCTCGTAAGACCGAATGTTTTGTTGTTGAGATGAAGTGATGTTCCTCAGCAGTATCGTGTACGCCATCATTGGTTGATAGGTGTAGTGCTGCTTCTCATACTGTGTGCCGTTTGTTGGGTATGGCAGGGACCCGTCGAAGAAGCCGAGGATTTGCGCTCCTTCCATCATCAGTTCAAATTCGAATGACAAGGTAAAGAAGTACTTCCCGTCGAAGGGTTTTGTCGTTTGCAGTTTTAGAACGTGCGCAAACTGCGACTGAACTTGTAGTGTGTCCAACGTTCTCTCTTGTCCCGGTGCAGGTTCTGGTTGTGGCATGAAGCTGACGGAGCCGCGGTGAGGCTCGTACGGAGCGAAGGTAGGTTGTTGTTGTTGATTCGCGCGTGCGTAGGATGAGCCATCAAGACTCATGGGCGTCACGTTGTTGTTGTTGTTGCTGTTGTTTGATTGCACATGTCCTCCTTGCTGATGCTGCTCGTAGAAGAACATGAAGGAGAAGAACTTCTCCATCATGCTTGGATCGAAGCCCACGCCTTGGTTTGCGGGTGTTTCAGTAGACCCAGCTGCCGGTCTCGTTGTTGTCCCTTCCTCTGTCTGTAGGCCAGAGGCAGGAGGTGGAGTAGGAGTAGTGCCAGGAGAGCCGTTGGAGGAGCTCCTCTCCTTTCTAGTAGACATGTCTCTTGGTGTATTAGGTGTTGAGGAGAAATGATTTTAACTCTAACCAGCTCTCATACCATGTTGGGCTGAGTGCCCCTTAGGATCTTTGGTAGAGTTAAAGTCTGAGTAAAGTGATGTAGTAGCGGAAGCGTTTTAAGTAAAGTCCTTGAACTACCTTGCGCTAGTATGTGAGGGCAAAGTAAGTTGATTAAAGCAAAGAAATACAAGAATATATATATGAATACAGAGAATATGAAGAGACATAATTATAACTACTTTACTGTTGCTTGTTGCGGTTCGATACAGTGCGACTCGGGCAACTGCTCAATGTCGAGTCAGTTGTGTGTCCTTGGTGTCGCGCTGCATTTGTCAGGTCAAAGGTCGCTGACCTTTGACTTTCGCGTAACCTCCAGCTGTTACATCAACCTCCGAGGGTTGACTCGCTTGTGCCTCGATATGCTTTGCTTCGCTTGTGTCTTGGTGTTTCGACTCGACAGAGGCGCTTAAGATTATTTGTTCCCAACCATTTTTACAATCTCTCAAGTTCAATTCCCACCCACCCTCCCCATGCTAGTAATCTTTAGAGAGTAGTAGTTCTTAGACATTTTGGATGTGATGGTGTATTATTATTATTATTGCTAGGAACCATTGTACTTGAGCACCATTGTAATGAGAACGATGCATATTGCTACAGAAGCAAGCTTTCTCAATCAGTTGTCTAAGTGAGTGGGGCCGGGCTTGCAATCAGTACATTTCAATCACACGTTCAATATATGAAATGCTATCTTGATATGTGCTTGGGGTTTGTTGGGAACAAATAGTCTTAAGCGCCTCTGTCGTGTCGAAACTCCAAGACACAAGCGAAGCAACGCATCGAAGCTACCAGCGAGTCAACCCTCGGAGGTTGATGTAACCGCTGGAGGTTACGCGAAAGTCAAAGGTCAGCGACCTTTTGACCTGACAAATGCAGCGCGACAGCAAGGACACACAACTGACTCGACATTGAGCAGTTGCCCGAGTCGCACTGTATCGAACCGCAAGAGTAAAACGTAGTTACAACTTGTGTCTCTTCATATTCTCTGTACTCATATTTTTTCTTGTATCTCTTTGCTTTAATCAACTTACTTTGCCCTCACATACTAGCGCAAGGTGGTTCAAGGACTTTATTCAAAACGCTTCCGCTACTACATCGTTTACTCAGACTTTAACTCTACAAAGATCCTAGGGCGTTCAGCCCAACAGGGTTTAGACCCGGGGTTCTATATTTCAAGCTTAGGACCACCATGTGTAATGCTCCTCAAAGGTCAATATCATGCTCTTACGACATTTGACATTACGGTACAAAGCTAACTACAAGAGTCAGGATTATGTCAGACGAAAGGTCAGCTACTACCTGACTAAACTGTCTGGGTAGATGAATACTAATGTTCTGGAGTTGGTTATCTCCTAAACCAAACCCCAAGCTCAACACCCCCCTTTCCCCCCCTTCGGAATGGCATTACCTATGCTAAACAAAGCTTTCCCAAGAAAAGGCAGCAATTCAACCTCCTCCTCCACACCCCCTAGTGTCTCCGCCAGACCAGATATCCCCATTCTCCCCTTCCTGTTAAAACCCTCCTATATTCGGCTCCCTTGCAAGAACCTCAATTGCAGCAGCTGCTTTTTCTACGGAAACGCGTCATATCTGTCATATACTCGTGTTAGAGTATCTTTTCCTCCACATCCCCCCACTCCGCGCGTCCCCCCCTTGTCCCCAGTCAACCCCTTCCCCCCACCTCCTTCCGCTTTCCCCCCCCGCCCTCCCTCCCCCCCAGCTTCCCCTCAACATCCTATCCACTCTACCCCTCCGCCGCTCCCCCTGCTCCTCCCGCTCCCCCCGCTTCCCCCGTCCCCCGTCCTTCCCCCGCCCTTCTCCCCACCTGCACCTCTCCCCACTCCCCCACGCTCACCTCATCTCCCCCTTCCGCCCCACCTGTTTCCGCTTCCTGCTCTGCTAAATCTCCGACCGACACCCCATTGCCCTTCCCCTCCTCCTCTTCCCCCTCCCCCTGATAATCCCCCCCCCGCACAGTTTCCTCTCTCCCCTCCTCTTCCCGCCCCTCCCCGCACCTCCGCCTCTCCTCCGCTTTCCCCCGCCGCCTCCGCCCTCCACAGTGCTTCTTTCCGCAATACGTCCTCCTTTTGCTCCAAAAGCTCCCCCTCCTCGCGACATGCAAAAGGATCTTTAGGGTCGGGCAGGTAGCCCTCGTTACAAGCACACGTCACATTCCGCATCAGCCGTTGAGAAACCGAGCTTTTGGGAATGCATGTTCCCTGCCCGCCGCACTGCCCGGCGAACGAAATGTTTTGCAGAACGCGTTGCAATTGGCGGGTTTTCGCTGAGGCTGGAGAAAGTGTAGCGGGGCAGCTGAAAGAACCGGACATGCAGTTCCCCCCCACTGAAACCCGCAAGCCAGGCACGCGGTCACTTGTCGGGCAGATTGAAACGTTTCCCATCATCATTTTCAGCGGCCCGTACAAGTAGTTGTTTGACACGTCGACGAAAAACTCGGATTCGCCGTTGATATCGCCAGTTTTCGCAGGGAAATCGGGCAGCTGACCGGTGAGAAAATTATTCGCCACATTGAGCATGTAAAGGCTGGGCGAATGCGAGAACACATCGGGAATCCGTCCGTACAGTCGATTGTGACTCAAGTCCAGCGAATACAGATTCGAAGCTGTTCCTATCGCGTACGGAATCTGCCCATCTATGCGGTTGTTATTGAGGATGAGCACAGACAAAGACGGGGATGCTCCTAACGAGGGCGGGATCTTCCCGCCAATCTGGTTGTGCTGTAGAATGAGCGAAGTGATCGAACTACTGTTACCGATATCGTCTGGGATCGTGCCGGTCAAATTGTTGTAACCAAAGTCGAGCATGCGAAGATTCGGTAACGAGCCCAACCCAGCCGGGATATGCCCACTAATTCCATTCCTATCTAGAAACAGCGACTGCAGCTTCCATAAACGAGATAAAGTGGCGGGCAAGAAACCGTCGATTTCGTTGTTGCTTAGAATGAGTGACTCCATAGCGGGAAGATTGCCGATATCCCTATGCAGCCTCCCCTGAATCTGACATCCTGACAAATCGATCCGCCTGACTCGACCGCTGGATGGGTCACACGTCACGCCTTTCCACTCGCGGCAAGAGCGGGTTACGCGCCACGTGTCGGAGCCCAGGAATTCGCCCCAAGTCGCCTTGACCGCGATTAACGCGGCGACATCGTCGGGATGGGGAGGCGGGAAATCGTCTGGAGCCGTCGAGACTAGGCTGAAGGGAAGGAGGAGAAGATGGAGAGAGAAGCGATGGCTAGGGACGAAGGGTGGAGTAGCAGACACCGACGGAGTGACGAGAATCGACGAAGTGACTTGATGGTGGAAAGTATGCGCAATGGTGACGACGTTGGCGCCATCGCGGAAACCGTGAGAAGGCTGTGCAGACCACAGTGCGAATTTTATTGCGTTCAGGGCTTCCTGAGTCAATCAGCAGCTAGGAGGAGTTTATGACGGCAGCGTCTCAAAGAGGCGGCTAAGAAAACGGCCTGTTGATTATCGTCCGTATGTTGAAAACATGCGAAAGGATAGTAGTACTCTTGCAACGTACTAACACGGAAAGCTGCCTCAAGTTTCTCTAAGCTGTGTTCTCAGGAATGTTGATGATTGAAAATGAAAGGGAGAGAGAAACTTGAATGAGCAAGAGGAGGGGAAGGAGGAAAGGGAAGATGGAGTAGCAGACATGTGTTGTATTTCGCGAGATCGACGGCGGTGGTTGAAGCACTGGACTCGCGCCGATGGCGGCAAGCTTCTGGCACGGCGCGGTAAAAAATTGAACGGCCAAGCTCGCTGACTGCCCTGACTCGCTGTTGCGACTCGCATTATGTCGGTGTAGGGTAGTGCGTTTTACAATACAAGATGGTATATGGGTGCTTAATGAGTGGTCAGGATACAGTGTGGATAGAACAAACGAGATAAATCGGCAACAGTTTGTCACGAAAAGTCTGTGCCTACTGTCCGAGAATGGCGAAAGTGCAGCTTCACGTTACAAGAATTCCGCGTGACGAAACCAACCGCCACAACACCCACGCTCCCGCCACGCGCTTTCCTTTCCCCACGCCACCTCCGCCCATCTCAGTTCCGCATAGTCCCCCCGCCAACAGCCCCTCCCCCCTCCCTCCCGCTGAGCCAGGCTTCCCCCCTTCCCCGAGCTCCATTCCCGGTGCCCCTTGCACAGGTTGAACTGTTCTCCCCATCGCCGCAACATACCTGTGTGCGCCTGTACCCCCGGTCCCCCCCCCACCCCACCCACCGTTCCCCAGGTCTTCCCCCAGTGCTTCTAGTCCCTCCCACCCACACGCGTTGCTTCCTCTCCCCGCCTTCCCCTGCTTTCCCTTCTTCCGAGGCTACTCCGTCCCTAGGTGTTTCCGCTTCAACAAACTTCACTCACTGGTGATATTTTCGTTTTCCCTGTTACCTTGTCCTCCCCCACCACACGTTAGTTAGGTTTTCTTTCCCTGTCCTTGCCGTGGACAGATCTAAACTGTTTACTTCATCTGCCGGCGTTCTACATATAGTTACCGATGCGGGTTCGCCTCCATGGATTTCACAATTGTGTGCTGCAAGCGTCCCTATTTTTCGTGATCTAGACTGAACTTTAGGCTGGATTATCGGCCCTGAGTAGGAATTACTGAACATAGCAGTTCCTTCCGTAAATATAGCTTAATAGGGGTATTTTACCCCTATTTAGGGTTGCGTGAAGCTGGGGGAGCCAATGGCTGTCGTGTCGGACGAGCCGATAGAAGTGAAGTTTCGGTTAGCGGACGGATCGGACATCGGTCCGAACAAGTTCGAGCAGGAGGCTACGGTCTTGTCGTTGAAGGAAAAGATACTTGCTCAATGGCCTGGAGGTACTATCTCGGCTATGGATTTCTTACTTTGTTAATCTATGTTTTTTTTGTGTTTGTAGTATGGTTTCTCTCTTTGCTGTGCTCTTCCGGCAGCCGTCTCTGCGTTTTCGGTAAGTCTTCACGCGTTGTTCACATGCCTTCATTCCACATGCCGTAATCAATGTCTTTTTTTCCCTTCCTGGCACCATTATGCCCGTTCTGCAAAGCATCGTAATTCATGCATTGCTATCGTTATTCACGCCTTGCTATTCTCGCTACCGTGCGACGGCGTTACCATCCATTTCTGATCAGACTCTACACTTCCGTTCGAAATAAGTTACTGACTCTCCTTTGTCCCCATCACCCGCCACTTCACTGTATGAGCTACCTTAACTCACGACCTGCGGTCGTTCGCATGCTGTTGCACACTATCTTACGTTGCGCTTGTCTGTCTCGTGCCACCATGATCGCATATTATCCGTACAGATAACTTCCACATTCCTGAAAGAGAGAAATTGAAAGAATTTTTAGAAAGTATCGATAGTTTAGTTTCTCGCATGTGCTCCCAATTTCTTTGCTCTGCAGAGGGGGGGTCCAAAATCGGTGAACGAGATTACTCTTATCAACGCCGGGAGATTGTTGGAGAACACTAAGACGCTGTCGGAGTCTCGTGTTCCCGTGAGCGAGATCGTAGGCACTCCGATCACAATGCACGTCGTCGTTCACCCAGCACAAGCAGACAAAACCACAGGTACCCGTTCTCTCTTCTACCTCTTTCTCTCTCTCTCTCTCTCTCTCTCTCTCTCTCTCTCTCTCTCTCTCTCTCCTCTCTCTCTCTCTCTCTCTCTCGACTCTCCCTCTCCCTCTCCGTCTCCCTCTCCCTCTTCCTCTCCCTCTCCCTCTCCCTCTCCCTCTTTCACTCCCTCTCTCTCTCCCTCTCCCTCTTTCACTCCCTCTCTCTCTCCCTCTCCCACTCCCTCTCCCTCTTCCTCTTCCTCACCCTCTCCCGGTCTCGCTCCCACTCCCTCTTCCTCTCCCTCTCCCCCTCCCCCTACCCTTCCCCCCTCTCCCTCCACCTCCACCCCTCCTCCCTCCACCTCCCCCCTCCCTCTCTCTCTCCTCTCTCTCTCTCTCTCTCTCTCTCTCTCTCTCTCTCCTCTCTCTCTCTCTCCCTCTCTCTCTCTCCCTCTCTCCTCTCTCTCTCTCTCTCCCTCTTCTCTCTCTGAATCTTATTTACTCCTTGCCTCTACGTTTTGTCTCCCCCCTTCCACCCATGCACCCCTTTCTGGGTCGGAAATCCTTGTTTTCTTTCCTTTGCGCTCGCTCTATCTCACCGTTCTTAGTCTGCATGCCTTCCCGGTGATGCTTGCGTGCCTGCGAGGTTTCCTGCGTCGTTTTGGCACCTCTACTTTCATCTGACCGCCTCCTCCTGTTTGTTCTGTCCGTCTCTCCTCCTGCCATCCCCCCTTCTTTCTTCCTTCTGTGCCTCCTTCCCCCGATTCCTCTCCGCTCTCCGCTCTCCGCTCTCCGTCTCTCTCTCTCTCTCTCTCTCTCTCTCTCTCTCTCTCTCTCTCTCTCTCTCTCTCTCTCTCTCCTCTCTCTCTCTCTCTCTCTCTCTCTCTCTCTCTCTCCCTCTCTCCCTCCCTCCCTCCCTCCCTCCCTCCCTCCCTCCCTCCCTCCCTCCCTCCCTCCCTCCCTCCCCCCCCCCTCCTCCCTCCCTCCCTCCCTCCCTCCCCCCCCCCCTCCTCCCTCCCTCCCTCCCTCCCTCCCTCCATCCCTCCCTCCCTCCCTCCATCCCTCTCTCTCTCTCTCTCTCTCTCTCTCTCTCTCTCTCTCTCTCTCTCTCTCTCTCTCTCTCTCTCTCTCTCTCTCTCTCTCTCCCTCCCTCCCTCCCTCCCTCCTCCGCTCTCGGTTCCTTGCACTTGTGTTCCCCCCATCACCCCTGTTTTCCACCTCTGGCACTCCCCCTCTCTTCACCCCCCATATATGTTCTATCTGCAGCAACACAACAACCAGCTGATGCAGCGTCAGGCAGATGTGGTTGCACCATTCTTTGATCCCGCCTTCCTCCATCATTCCGCAAGGTCCTCCCAACTACTGGTCGAAGCCACAACTCAGTTATGAGATGCCCCATGTAGATGCCTACTTTTGCTTTATTAGACCAATGTATGAGGAACTGCTGTCCTCCTGTATGAAATGTTTTTTCTTTTCTTGTAGCCAACACATCGTGTTTTGAGATGTCCAAGATGCTGAAATGGGGAATGCTAATTATGTGCTCCACTGTTCTCCGTCTAGGAACTAGTACGGAACATGTCGTGATCTTAGCCAAACATCACCTCAATCAGCTTGATCATTTCAAGCAAGCTGGAAAAGACTACCACCATCTAGAACTAGATCAGGTGCTTCAACCGTGAGGCCATTGTGTAAGTGGTTGAAAAAAATGAGCAATGTTATATGCCGCCCAAGGTAGCAAGAGTTTTTGCATAAACCAAATTTGAAGTTAAAAAACAGCATAGATCAACCCATCAGCTTCATAATAAAAGAAACTTACATTCAAAGTGTTAACACTACCATGTTGAGAAAACAGGCGCATGCCAGAGCAAACCAGGCGAAGGTCTATACAGGGCAGAATTGAGTTTAACCGCCAAACCCATAGAGCGTGCGGCCTTGGCGTTTCAGAGCATAGACGACATCCATGGCGGTGACGGTCTTCCGGCGAGCGTGCTCAGTGTAAGTCACAGCGTCTCTGATAACGTTCTCAAGAAAGACCTTAAGCACGCCCCGAGTTTCTTCATAAATCAGGCCACTGATACGCTTGACTCCGCCACGCCTTGCGAGACGACGGATAGCCGGCTTGGTGATGCCCTGGATATTATCGCGAAGCACCTTTCTGTGTCGCTTGGCTCCGCCCTTTCCAAGACCCTTGCCACCCTTTCCACGGCCTGACATAGTGTGACAAGAGGAACTATAAACGGAAGGAAATGCCTACAGACAGAAGATAATAGCTGTGCGTTGGTGATGCTCAAATAACCAGGTTGATGGAGAAATGAAGGCTGCAGTTACAAGTTATGGAACAGAAGCGCGGTTGATATACTGGCAGCTGCTACCGCTAGTTGCGTTGGAGAAGGTGAAGGCGAAGGAAGACAGGTCACAGGCAGGGAAGCAGGGCCGCACGGACTTGCTTGGCTTGGCGAGGCCCGAGTCAGAGCTCCAAAGCAAATTGTTCGGAAGCGAGGTTCGAGCTTGGTTCGGCAGGCACGAAGTAGTGGCCTGGGTCACCGGAGTTCGTGCTGAGCAAAGCTGGTTCTCGGTTAAAAATGACCGTCGATTGAGGTTACATTGTCTGACGGTGGATGTGAATTTCAGATTGAAGGAGCCCTTGTCGACCAGCGTCGATAGTGGGAATATCAACGGTTTGACGCAGAACTCGTCGACCCGAGTGATGACCCCCCATTCGCCACTTCATAATCAAGAAAACGCATGTCAACAATGACTTCGTTTTCGCATAACGGAATCAGCCAGTTATATTTCAATAGCGGCACTAAATGTAAACACTACCTTAATAAGATTTTACCAAATGTGCCTTAGTGGTCCGAATTACCATCCTTTCAAATATAGAAGGAAACAACAGCAATTGTCCTAAGCACAAAGCGCGATTCAGGCATGGGAAAGACATACCGTATTCTCCCGGATAAAACACCCCCCCGTAATTGTACACCCCCGGGTAGCTTATACGGGGTGGGTGTTACATACGACCCCGTTAGTACTATACCCAGGGCTGACGTTTCGTCTTAGGACTCCCTGATTCCAGTAAAAAATTTGACCCTCTATTATGAGGGCACATTTTTCGCAAGGTAGCTACCCTGATAACTCAGTGTTACACGAAGTCCAACTCTGACCGGACAGGGTTCACAGCTCAAAAACAGGGTTGCTATTAACAGTGCACTATTTTCCAAAATGATACAACTGCATGCACTTTCCTACTCTATCTAGTCCAGTGCACGGGCTTGTCTATGAAGTACACCTCCTCCACATCCTCATCGTCCGACAGGAATGACTTGTCCTCCGCTTCCTCCTCCCCCCACGATCTCCTGATCGTCGCCGAATGACTGTTCCACTTCATCGTCCTCCTCCTCCTCCTCCTCCTCCTCCTCCTCCTCCTCCTCCTCCTCCTCCTCCTCCTCCTCCTCCTCCTCCTCCTCCTCCTCCTCCTCCTCCTCCTCCTCCTCCTCCTCCTCCTCCTCATCCTCATTCTCTCCGGCATTTTTAGCAGCCACATCTTCACCCTCCTTCTGCTTCCCCCTCCTCTCCCTCTCTGCCACAGCCAGCTTCAAGCTCTTCGCAGGGCGCCTCCTCCACAGGGACCTCCACACCTCCAGTGCCTCCGACCAGTCGATCTCATACTTGAGGAGCGATATCTGCATCAGCTCCCCCAGACGCGCGTTGCACAGCGCTCCTCGCACCCAGGACTTGATGACGTTCTGCCTGGAGAACCCTCTCTCGCAGTCCACGGTGGAGAGGGGGAGCACAGCCAGCGCCTGCCTTAGCAGGATGAGGTTGGGCCATCTCCTGCCAGGCACATTTGTACACACAACACAACGGAAACAGTTAGCGATGCGCAACAAGATTGTAAAACCCATGTTAGCAAAGTATAGGCTACCTCTTGGAGTCTGCACTCCCAAGGAAGTTGGACAGGCCTTGGGTGAAGCTCTCCATCTCATGGTGTGCCTCCATGATCGCGCAGAAGGTTGGAAGCTCCCTCTCTGCTGCTTTGAGGTCGAATCCCGGCAGCTTGTTGCGGAACAGCCTGCTGCATCCGTTCAGCCACTCCTTACACTTCTTCTCTCGCTGGGCCTTGATCTTCGGCCACTTCCCCGCCCGGAACAGCTTCGTCGGCCCGAGCTTCCCAAGGTCATCCAGTCGGTTGTTGAGGTTGTCCACGCAGTCACGGGCGAATTTGCGGCACAGCTTCACGCAGTCTGCGTAGGTGCTTCCGTGTTTGTGCCCCTTCAGCTTTCGCTCATGCATGGTGTACAGGTGATTGATCGGGCGTCCAACACTGTCCACGCCGCGCACCCGGACCTGCTTGCCTCCACCCTCCTTGTGGACTTTGAGGAAGTTCACCAGCCAGCTCTTCCCTTCGCCCCCGAAAGCTTTCTCTGGCGTCAAGTAGCGCTCCATAAGGTCACTCGTTGTGGACTCGATCATCTTCGCAATCTCAGTCACGTCCAGCTGTGTTAGAGCAGGGGTAGACAAGAGGGAGAAGGATGAGCAACAGCGTAGTGACGAACCTCACGTAGCAACATCATACAAACATGCGACCTCACCTCTCGTCTCTGGAAGCAGCGGTTGAGGTCGTTCATGTCCGCCAAGAAAAACAAGCAGAACTGAAACTTGTAGCAGGTGACAATCTCGTACGCCTTGTGATTATGCTCCCAGAGCAGCACGATGCAAGTGCCGAGGACCTTGCACAGCCTGGCCACCGCATCTCCTCGAGACAGCCACCGCACCGTGTGGATGCCTTGGACTTCCAGGTTGGTCTTGTAAATCACACGCTGCAGGCACTTGAACCGCTGACTCCACACGCTGGAGTTTCCGAGCATAGTCGCCACAGTGCGCACCACCTTGTCGACCATGTCGAGATCCGGGTTTGAGTCAGCGGCGTCTTTCACAGCCAACGCCTCACTGTGTAAAGCAGGGAACAAGTATTATGGTTTGTTAGTAAACCAATCAGCGTAGATAACATGCTACAATACAGACCAACTCACATACCGATGGGCGATGCAGTGGCATGAGAACAGATGAGGGACGTGTTCACGAAGACGCGCCACCAATCCGTTCTCTCTCCCGGTCATGACCGACGCCCCGTCCGTGCTGATGCCGACGATCTTGGACACATCGACGGCAGCGGAGGGAAGATGGTTCAGAAGCACCTCAAACAAGGACCCTGCATCACACCGCTCGACCGTCAGCAAAGTGAAAAACTCGCATGCAACTTGGCGGTTCTTCAGAAATGTAAGGTACGCAATCATGTGTTTCCCTCGCGTGCGGTCAGTGCTCTCGTCGCACTGGATGCCCAGGAACGGTGATGCCAGGACGTGGTCCATCTGCAGCCGGGTGAGGTAAGTGCTCATGCTGTGGACCATCTGCTGGAAGCCGTAGCTGCAACAAAGGACAGAGAAATTATGAGAACACGATAGTCAAGCAAGTTGTTTGACGTGCATGTCTAAATTTGCAATCAATTTGAACCGTCACTTACCGCGTGAGATAAACGCCGTACGACTGCCGGGGAATGTCTGGCGTGTCCTGCTCCGCAAGATGCCACATCAGCTTAGGAAACATGCTAATCTGCGCGTCGCACTGGCACATGAACTGAGTCGACCGCATCAGCCGTATCGCGCGGCGGCCCTCGACGTCGGAGCTGATGAAGTCCGAAATCACCTGCTGCCCCTCGCGGATTCCCGCCGCAATCTTCATCCGGCGGTCCACCGCCGCCATGTGTGCGTCCGTATGCTCGTGCGCCCGGAACGACTGCGTCTGCAAGTCACGGCCTCCATCATCTCCCTGCATGGCGTACCTCGTGTTCCCCTTACCGTACAACATGCAGATGCTGCACTTCACGTACGGGAAACCGTCCTTGGTTTTCCCAAACACAAGCCAAGAAAAGTATCCCGCCCACTTCGTCTCGTAATTAATACTCGCCTCCAGGTACATCTGCTCTCGCAGCTGCGTCTTGCCGGCGAGCCGGTATCCGCGCGCACCGGGATGTCACCTTCTTCCGGCAGCTCAGCTTCTTTCTGTGCAGGCTCATCGGGCTTTTCCGGCGGTGGAATACGGCGGCCTCCCACCAGCAGAGTACTCTGCGCCCACTTTCCAGATCGCGCACGCTTGGGAGCGGAAGTAGCCGACGGCGGGCCAAGGGACACCCGCACCGTGCTTGGAGTAAGACTGGGCGAGGGCGGTGGAGGATCTTTGCTGCAGCCAGCAACAGCCGGGGGGAGAGTGAACGGGACGGGAATAGGAGAACCAGTAGGAGTAGGGGTTACTACAGGGGCAGAGTCGTGAACGGTAGACCTAGGCGGTTCAGGTGTGACGGGAGCAGCCGTAGGTCTAAGAAAATCTAGCCCAGAGCGGGGAGCATCCGAAGCTTTCTCCGGCTGGGACGGCGCTGTTGGTTTCGCTGTTATAGGCGGCTCGTCGGGGCCAGTGTCCGAAGCAGCTTCATCGGCCGGCATGGCCTCCATTGGTGGCTAAACTGAACGAGAGGAAAATGAGACAATGAATGTACGTAATGGAAAGAACACACCAGTGAACAAAGGAACGTTGGCCGTTGGTATGGGGAGGGAAGGGGAGGTTGGAGATGGCGGGAGTGCGAAACTACCGCGCCGCGATTCCACGGATTTGATGGCAACATTCGACGATGACTTCGTCGTTGCATTCAAGGCCGAATTCATTCACGGACTCCTTGGTTGCCACCGCATGCTGTCAACAGGCCATTGTGGCCAATGGCAGACACATGCTGTGCATTGTGCGGTGCGCTGACCGGATCATTGATTTGGCTGCGTTGGCGCTGTTGCCAGCTGTGATGTACAGCACGTCAATGTTTTCCTTTGTCGGTATTACGTCACTCACGGGCGCGTGAAGGGGGTACCTCACATGGGGCCACTCGAAGAAATGATTACGCACAAGGGGGTTATCGAAACGAAGCTTCTAGGAAACTTCGTCCCGAGACCCTCGCATTCAGGGTCCACGGAACGCATACCCTGCATAGACAGAGTCCGCAAGTACACTACTCTGAGCCTGGTTACAAGAATTCAGAGTCCGTTAAGTAGCTTCTCTGATTGGATCAGAGTTCACAAAATACAAAACCTGAGTTTGCAGGGACCACCAAGTCAGAAGCCTGTAATCACCCTGAAATCCGGGTAATTACCTTGATATCGTCAGCCCTGACTTGCGCGTGTGGTTGTGAGTTTACAACTTTTGACACTTGCGGTTCGACCCTTGCAAACACTCAAAATCGAGTCAGGTTCGCTTAGTGTTCACTTGCTACAATCGAGTCAAAAACCTAAACTTAAGGTAAACTCTAGATTCAGACACGCCCTAAGGCACATGCTCACAAATCTACTACTAACTCTTTGGTGACGACAGAGGCTTTAACTAGGGTGTACCCGACCCGAGCCTTGTGGAGGAGCCTCTAAAGATTGACGATTCTAATTTCATAACACTTTCTTACAACTCTTTGGATACATTACATGTCACCTGGTAAATCCATAACATCAGTCTTCTTTCACATAACGGTTCTTCCTCTGGCCGAAGAGGGCACGCTGAGAGACAATAGAGAAAACCAGGCAGAAAAAAAGTCATGAAAGACATGACGGTTGTCAAGGTTGCAATGTTGCTTGTGAAAAACATTGGTGTTTAATCACATATCTTTGCATTGCACTTCTATACTATTAACCCTTCGTTTTCATAAGGTTGACAACACTATTACCAATATAAAAGAACCTGTTATGTACGTAATGCCATGGCATACCTGGAATATTTGCGAGAAGGCTTTAGGCTTGGTGAGAAACTTGATGTAGGTGGAGGTGCTGGCTCCGCTAGCAGGCACCTCTCTCACTCGTGGCACGAGGAATTGAGCGACCTGTGACAGAAACAAGGCGGGTTAGAGCGTGGGGGAAAGAACAAGGGAAAATGCCTTAAGGCCTGGTGAGAACCTTGATGTAGGTGGAGGTGTTGGCACATCTGGCAGGGACTTCTTGCACTCGTGGAACGAGGAATTGAGCGACCTGTGACAGAGAAGACGGAGAGAGAGGGAGGAAGTAGCGGGTAAGGGAGCCGTGTTATGAGTCGACTCAAAAACTCTGAAGACCTGTGACAGAGAGGAAGGGGAGCTGTGGCTCCGCTAGCAGGCACCTCTCTCACTCGTGGCACGAGGAATTGAGCGACCTGAGGCAAGAGCAAAGGGGTAGAGAGGCGAGAGGGGGTGAGGAATGATTCAATGCAGGTAGAGGTGCTGGTTGGGACTGCTAGCAGGCACCTCTCTCTCTCGTGGCACGGGGAATTGCGCGACCTGCGGCAGAAGCAGGGGGGTAGAGAAGCGAGAGGGGGATGAGCAAGAATGCTTCAGTAATAAGGTTGATGTGCACAAACAGGAAAAGAGATGTTGGTTGGCTCTACAAACAGGAAAAGAGGTGTTGGTTGGCTCTACAAACAGGAAAAGAGGTGTTGGTTGGCTCTACAAACAGGAAAAGAGGTGTTGGTTGGCTCTACAAACAGGAAAAGAGGTGCTGGTTGGCTCTACAAACAGGAAAAGAGGTGTTGGTTGGCTCTACAAACAGGAAAAGAGGTGTTGGTTGGCTCTACAAACAGGAGAAGAGGTGTTGGTTGGCTCTACAAACAGGAAAAGAGGTGTTGGTTGGCTCTACAAACAGGAAAAGAGGTGTTGGTTGGCTCTACAAACAGGAAAAGAGGTGCTGGTTGGCTCTACAAACAGGAAAAGAGGTGTTGGTTGGCTCTACAAACAGGAAAAGAGGTGCTGGTTGGCTCTACAAACAGGAAAAGAGGTGTTGGTTGGCTCTACAAACAGGAAAAGAGGTGTTGGTTGGCTCTACAAACAGGAAAAGAGGTGTTGGTTGGCTCTACAAACAGGAAAAGAGGTGTTGGTTGGCTCTACAAACAGGAAAAGAGGTGTTGGTTGGCTCTACAAACAGGAAAAGAGGTGTTGGTTGGCTCTACAAACAGGAAAAGAGGTGTTGGTTGGCTCTACAAACAGGAAAAGAGGTGCTGGTTGGCTCTACAAACAGGAAAAGAGGTGTTGGTTGGCTCTACAAACAGGAAAAGAGGTGTTGGTTGGCTCTACAAACAGGAGAAGAGGTGTTGGTTGGCTCTACAAACAGGAAAAGAGGTGTTGGTTGGCTCTACAAACAGGAAAAGAGGTGCTGGTTGGCTCTACAAACAGGAAAAGAGGTGTTGGTTGGCTCTACAAACAGGAAAAGAGGTGTTGGTTGGCTCTACAAACAGGAAAAGAGGTGCTGGTTGGCTCTACAAACAGGAAAAGAGGTGTTGGTTGGCTCTACAAAAAGGAAAAGAGGTGTTGGTTGGCTCTACAAACAGGAAAAGAGGTGCTGGTTGGCTCTACAAACAGGAAAAGAGGTGTTGGTTGGCTCTACAAACAGGAAAAGAGGTGTTGGTTGGCTCTACAACCAGGAAAAGAGGTGTTGGTTGGCTCTACAAACAGGAAAAGAGGTGTTGGTTGGCTCTACAAACAGGAAAAGAGGTGTTGGTTGGCTCTACAAACAGGAAAAGAGGTGTTGGTTGGCTCTACAAACAGGAAAAGAGGTGTTGGTTGGCTCTACAAACAGGAAAAGAGGTGTTGGTTGGCTCTACAAACAGGAAAAGAGGTGTTGGTTGGCTCTACAAACAGGAAAAGAGGTGCTGGTTGGCTCTACAAACAGGAAAAGAGGTGTTGGTTGGCTCTACAAACAGGAAAAGAGGTGTTGGTTGGCTCTACAAACAGGAGAAGAGGTGTTGGTTGGCTCTACAAACAGGAAAAGAGGTGTTGGTTGGCTCTACAAACAGGAAAAGAGGTGCTGGTTGGCTCTACAAACAGGAAAAGTGGTGTTGGTTGGCTCTACAAACAGGAAAAGAGGTGCTGGTTGGCTCTACAAACAGGAAATGAGGTGCTGGTTGGCTCTACAAACAGGAAAAGAGGTGTTGGTTGGCTCTACAAACAGGAAAAGAGGTGTTGGTTGGCTCTACAAACAGGAAAAGAGGTGTTGGTTGGCTCTACAAACAGGAAAAGAGGTGTTGGTTGGCTCTACAAACAGGAAAAGAGGTGTTGGTTGGCTCTACAAACAGGAAATGAGGTGCTGGTTGGCTCTACAAACACGAAAAGAGGTGCTGGTTGGCTCTACAAACAGGAAAAGAGGTGCTGGTTGGCTCTACAAACAGGAAAAGAGGTGTTGGTTGGCTCTACAAACAGGAAAAGAGGTGCTGGTTGGCTCTACAAACAGGAAAAGAGGTGCTGGTTGGCTCTACAAACAGGAAAAGAGGTGTTGGTTGGCTCTACAAACAGGAAAAGAGGTGTTGGTTGGCTCTACAAACAGGAAAAGAGGTGTTGGTTGGCTCTACAAACAGGAAAAGAGGTGTTGGTTGGCTCTACAAACAGGAAAAGAGGTGTTGGTTGGCTCTACAAACAGGAAAAGAGGTGTTGGTTGGCTCTACAACCAGGAAAACAGGTGTTGGTTGGCTCTACAAACAGGAAAAGAGGTGTTGGTTGGCTCTACAAACAGGAAAAGAGGTGTTGGTTGGCTCTACAAACAGGAAAAGAGGTGTTGGTTGGCTCTACAAACAGGAAAAGAGGTGTTGGTTGGCTCTACAAACAGGAAAAGAGGTGTTGGTTGGCTCTACAAACAGGAAAAGAGGTGTTGGTTGGCTCTACAAACAGGAAAAGAGGTGCTGGTTGGCTCTACAAACAGGAAAAGAGGTGTTGGTTGGCTCTACAAACAGGAAAAGAGGTGTTGGTTGGCTCTACAAACAGGAGAAGAGGTGTTGATTGGCTCTACAAACAGGAAAAGAGGTGTTGGTTGGCTCTACAAACAGGAAAAGAGGTGCTGGTTGGCTCTACAAACAGGAAAAGAGGTGTTGGTTGGCTCTACAAACAGGAAAAGAGGTGCTGGTTGGCTCTACAAACAGGAAAAGAGGTGCTGGTTGGCTCTACAAACAGGAAAAGAGGTGTTGGTTGGCTCTACAAACAGGAAAAGAGGTGTTGGTTGGCTCTACAAACAGGAAAAGAGGTGTTGGTTGGCTCTACAAACAGGAAAAGAGGTGTTGGTTGGCTCTACAAACAGGAAAAGAGGTGTTGGTTGGCTCTAAAAACAGGAAATGAGGTGCTGGTTGGCTCTACAAACAGGAAAAGAGGTGCTGGTTGGCTCTACAAACAGGAAAAGAGGTGCTGGTTGGCTCTACAAACAGGAAAAGAGGTGTTGGTTGGCTCTACAAACAGGAAAAGAGGTGCTGGTTGGCTCTACAAACAGGAAAAGAGGTGCTGGTTGGCTCTACAAACAGGAAAAGAGGTGTTGGTTGGCTCTACAAACAGGAAAAGAGGTGTTGGTTGGCTCTACAAACAGGAAAAGAGGTGTTGGTTGGCTCTACAAACAGGAAAAGAGGTGTTGGTTGGCTCTACAAACAGGAAAAGAGGTGTTGGTTGGCTCTACAAACAGGAAAAGAGGTGTTGGTTGGCTCTACAAACAGAAAAAGAGGTGTTGGTTGGCTCTACAAACAGGAAAAGAGGTGCTGGTTGGCTCTACAAACAGGAAAAGAGGTGTTGGTTGGCTCTACAAACAGGAAAAGAGGTGTTGGTTGGCTCTACAAACAGGAAAAGAGGTGTTGGTTGGCTCTACAAACAGGAAAAGAGGTGTTGGTTGGCTCTACAAACAGGAAAAGAGGTGCTGGTTGGCTCTACAAACAGGAAAAGAGGTGCTGGTTGGCTCTACAAACAGGAAAAGAGGTGTTGGTTGGCTCTACAAACAGGAAAAGAGGTGTTGGTTGGCTCTACAAACAGGAAAAGAGGTGCTGGTTGGCTCTACAAACAGGAAAAGAGGTGCTGGTTGGCTCTACAAACAGGAAAAGAGGTGCTGGTTGGCTGTACAAACAGGAAAAGAGGTGCTGGTTGGCTCTACAAACAGGAAAAGAGGTGCTGGTTGGCTCTACAAACAGGAAAAGAGGTGCTGGTTGGCTCTACAAACAGGAAAAGAGGTGTTGGTTGGCTCTACAAACAGGAGTAGCGGTGTTGGTTGGCTCTACAAACAGGAAAAGAGGTGTTGGTTGGCTCTACAAACAGGAAAAGAGGTGTTGGTTGGCTCTACAAACAGGAAAAGAGGTGTTGGTTGGCTCTACAAACAGGAAAAGAGGTGCTGGTTGGCTCTACAAACAGGAAAAGAGGTGCTGGATGGCTCTACAAACAGGAAAAGAGGTGCTGGTTGGCTCTACAAACAGGAAAAGAGGTGCTGGTTGGCTGTACAAACAGGAAAAGAGGTGCTGGTTGGCTCTACAAACAGGAAAAGAGGTGCTGGTTGGCTCTACAAACAGGAAAAGAGGTGTTGGTTGGCTCTACAAACAGGAAAAGAGGTGCTGGTTGGCTCTACAAACAGGAAAAGAGGTGCTGGTTGGCTCTACAAACAGGAAAAGAGGTGCTGGTTGGCTCTACAAACAGGAAAAGAGGTGCTGGTTGGCTCTACAAACAGGAAAAGAGGTGCTGGTTGGCTCTACAAACAGGAAAAGAGGTGCTGGTTGGCTCTACAAACAGGAAAAGAGGTGCTGGTTGGCTCTACAAACAGGAAAAGAGGTGTTGGTTGGCTCTACAAACAGGAAAAGAGGTGCTGGTTGGCTCTACAAACAGGAAAAGAGGTGTTGGTTGGCTCTACAAACAGGAAAAGAGGTGTTGGTTGGCTCTACAAACAGGAAAAGAGGTGCTGGTTGGCTCTACAAACAGGAAAAGAGGTGCTGGTTGGCTCTACAAACAGGAAAAGAGGTGCTGGTTGGCTCTACAAACAGGAAAAGAGGTGTTGGTTGGCTCTACAAACAGGAAAAGAGGTGCTGGTTGGCTCTACAAACAGGAAAAGAGGTGTTGGTTGGCTCTAC